TTTTGGTGCTTGTGAGAGTGAGACACTTATGGCATAGGCTAAAGTCTGTGCACATAGCACACTTCCTCTGCTTTGCTATCCTTGCTGGGTCCTTAGCATCTCAGTTGTAGCCCTTATTCCCTCTCTCCTGGATTCCTATACAGCTTGGCCAACACATGACCATCATGATCTGTATCAGTGTCTGCTTTTCCAAGAATGAAACAAACACCCTCAAGTAGGTACCAACTAGATGTAGAGGCTAAAGCCAAGACTACCACATTCATTTCACATATGACTTGCAGCTTATGACTAAGAGAAGATTTGAATTCAGGTTCTCCAGAGATGAACAGCGAGTGTACTGAGATGTACTGGGAAAACCCCTAAGCAAGCCAATTTTTTCTTTTTCTTTTTCTTACCACTCCTCATTTGAAGTGGGCTTTTTTGCAGCTGTTTGCTAGAGGCGGTCTGGATGGCAACAGAAGCTGCTGTTATTTAAGAGATTGGAGTCGCACTCCAGAGCAGGACCTGGAAGCACCACTGAGGTGCTCAGTCCTTGAGGGTGGTGGAGACCTTGCACTGCTCTCTTCTGACCCTCCTTGGAGGAATCATGGAGCTATGTCTCTGGACAGGGAATTGCTACCAGGCTGTCTTCACATGCAGGTAAAGATGCCACAAGGGAGGGAGGGGAATAAAAATTAGAATCCCTAGGACTCTAAGAGGAGACAAGGCAGCATCACCACCCACCCCGGGGGGAAAAAAACACCAATTATGCTGGAGCACAGTTGTCCAAATGAAGTCTGCGAGGGTTTCAGTACTAACTGCAGTTCCAGGCATGTGCCAAACATACCTGGCATGAAGGTGTTCTCGGAGGGCGAACGCAAGTGGTCTTTGCGCTCACAAATATGTGCCAGAGCGCCACTTGTGCTGCTCTGTAGGAAAGGTCAACTTTTCCTAGTGCTTCTTCCAAGCTGACTGCCCCCAGCTTGTCCAAGTATAATAGGAACAGTCCTTCGTCCACATCCATTGACTGCAAGCAGAGGAAGTAAGATTGAAAAGGGAAGGGGGGGGAACAATGAGAGGCTAAAAGAGAGGGCCGAGGGGGCCTGCATCCTTGGTTAGAACAAGAAGCGAGGCCCACTCCCAGAGGCTGCACCTCCAGGGAACAAGCCACAACTTTAACCCACCGAGTAGTCACAGTCACAGAAGAAGTGGGACTCGGGCCTCCTGTGTGCCAATCCCAGTTCTACCCCCGAGTCACAGTGGGCCAGTTTCTGCCACCCTTCCTTTACAAGAAGTGTCTTATTCCACAATTAGTCCATTGACTATGGAGCCCGGTGCACAAGTGTGGCCGTGCCCTGTGTGAGACGTATTAGAAACTCTGTGGGGTGGAGCATGTAGAGAAAGTTGGCAGTCGTGTGAGTACTTGCTGCCAGGTGCAGGGGGCAGGGTTTGTGTTCTGAATCTTGGCCACTTTACGCCTCAGTTTCTCAGTCCACAAGCTGGGGCTAAGTGGCCCAGAGGCTTCAAGGGGTGCAGCGGGGCCTAATTCACCCACTTTGGGGAAGGGCTCCATGACCCTCCAGCAAAAGTTGCTATATCCGTGCAAAGGCAGGATTCAGGTTTAGGTTGCTCTGTTAGCTCTGCCAGTGATTGATGGCCATAATAACAAAGTCACATCTCTTCGGCTATACAAGATGTCTGGTTTGCCACCCTGTCGCCTTCCGCCCATTGCAAAGCTATTTCAGGGCCCATGGAGAGAGAGAGAGAGACACGGACTAATGAACTGGGAGCTACCTACCTTGTGAGACTTAGTGGTGTGTTTCACTGAAGTGTGGAAAACGGGATCCTTTTGGATTGGTTTCTTTTTGATGGGCTCCTTCCAGCCCCCCAGATCCATCCTCCCTGTCCATGTTATGGTGCTCCTTTCTCTCCCCAGGCACCCAGGGAGGGGGGAACCCCCTGGTATAATAATAATAATAATAATAGTGATAATAATAATGATAATTTTAAAAAGAGGCATCACCACAGTCAAGTAACTTAGTCCTGGGTCATGCTCTTCTCCAGTGGCTTTTTCCCAGAGACTCCAGGGTTGCATAAGAACTGGTGACATGACTCCGTTAAAGCCGAAATGGAGATGAAGCCCCCCGTCCCTGGCACACCGGGAAGGAAAAGCCTAGCTTCCCTCTGCAGGGTATGCATTTTCGTGGGGCACAGGTGAGCGCGCGCAGTCTCCCACAAGAGAACAAGCGGGTGGCACAGCATGTCTCGGGAAAGTGGTCTGGAGTGAAAGGACATGTGTGTGCATGTCCGTGTGTGTATGTTTGTGTACGTGTGTGCGTGTCTCTGTGTGTATATTTGTGTCTGCGTGTATGTTTGTGTGCATATGTGTGTGCGGGTGTGCGTGTATGTTTGCGCTGTGTGTGTGTCTGTGTCTCTGGGTGCATGTGCCTGTGCGTGTGTGTTTGTGTGCGTGCATACATTTCTTCCCCGACTTGGAGCGCCTTACCCAGTGAACGCCCCGCGGACCTCCTCTCCCCTCCCCGCTGCCCCCACCCA